GATTGGCTGCAGAAGGAGGGAAGGAGGAGCGTTGCGCCGGTCCGCGGAACATGCTGTCTATTTGCGGTGCCATCATCTGACCAAACGGCGTGGACAGGAAGTCTGAAGGCAGACCTGGAGAACAGAGTGTGAACGTTTACAGAAGTAGTCGAACAATTCAGCTTGGATGGTGCACCGACTGTACACACAGTGCGACTCACTGGTAATGTGACTGGGTATCCCTCGCCCCGTCAAGATTTCTGCCAACTCGTCGGAGAAGTTGTTGCAGTTGAAGTTCAGAAGATGATAGGCTTGAGCGGAATACCGTTCCTTCATGCTGTCCACCAATTCCATTAGCGTATGCTCGTCCACCGATGTCTCTCCCAACAAGTGTGTCTCCAGTGGTGCGCCATGCTGCTTTGCGGGAAGCGAACATCACCAATGGACTTAGTGCAAGTCGAAATAGCGCATATACGCACGTCACATGTCCACTCACATGTGTCTGACCCGGCCGTGCGATATCGATACCTTGACCAAAGAAGATTTCGCGAGAGTGAACGACTATAGATGTGTGATAGATGGCTGGAAAATAGCGACCTGTCAATTGCTGAGAGAGGGAAGCAGCCAGGCCATTCGAGAGGTCATAGACATAAAGCATCACTGGCCAAGAGACCATGTCGGATGTGGTGGACATGATTCAAGGCCTGCTGGAGGGTGATTGCTCTCAGTCCCAGCGTGAGGTTCGGATGGTTGTTGGATGGCGTGCTCTGAAGGCGAGAAAAGAGGGCAGATGGGACGCTTTGCACAGTCTGTATGTACGCGAATTCAAGACCTCCTTGTGATTGCAATTGTGCCTGCAAAGCAGGATGGGTCGGTCACCTTTGCTCTTACGAGCGCTTACGTTCAACCTGCCTGTAGCTCATATCAGAAAGGTACACGTACTTCCTGCACAGCCCCGCGCGCGGCAGTCACGTGATACGCGGCGCGTCCGTGCGCGTTGGGAGGAAGAATCTTGAACTCAAAAACTCGTTGGGTTTGACGACGTGCCTGCGGGGTCCGCGGAGATTTGATCACGGTCGGGCATGCATCGATCACGATGAGAAAGCTCGATCGATCGATTTGTGGTTGGTTGGGATCGCTTTTGACCCTCGATCCTCGGCCCCGTCTCGTCAGACCACCGTCTCGCTTCTGGGCGCTCTTGAAAGCATTCCTCGTCATTGTCCAGCCCTCTCAGTTTCTAATTCTCCCATTCAATTGTTACAGCTCCTCGCAGCCAGCTTACCCTCGCGCTTCAAGCGCGTTGGAAGGCCGTCGCGGCAAATTTTCGCAACGGGAAAAGCGGCAAGGTCCCATGCTCACGACTGAGCTTCAGCTTCAACGCTCGCAGGAAGTCTCCATAAGCGACGCCTCTTGTCGCCGCAGATGGGCCAACAAATCGACACGCGTCCCAGCACGGGCAAGAGCGAAGATGGAGCAGCTTGGGCGAGCACGGAGCGGGCAGACGACGTGCAAGGTACACCTCGGGCTCTTTTGCTGCGCGTAGACCTGCTTCTTGTGCTATTGCTATTTGTCGCATATGGTCTTCAATTCTGGGTGAGTCTTGAGCGCGTTGCTGCCTCCTCAGCCGAGTTTTGGGTGGATGTATGCGCCTGTTCAACACGTCTCATGACCTCTGATGCACAAATCGCGCTCCGAAGGACAAAGCTGTGCTCGGCTCAGCGACACTCTTCAATCTCATTCCTTCTTTGGGTCTTGGCGGAACCAAATATGGCACTTCCTCCGGCGCATTCTACTGGGGATACCTAGTCGGCGCTTTTCCCATGTCTCTCGCCGCCAATCATTTCAAACGCATCAACGTTTGGCTGGGTGGCTGCATCGTCGTCTGGGGTGGCATCCTACTCCTCACTCCAGCAGTACAGAACTTTGGAGGATTGGTCGCCCAGCGCTTCTTCCTTGGGTAGGTTCGATGCGCAAAGAGCGGGAAAAAGAGGAAGAGGACGCTCATACTTGCTGCGTCCGCTACGTTTCACAGCTTTGTGGAGTCTTCAGTCTCGCCTGGCTTCGTCGCTGTCACACGTCGATGGTACACGCGAGAAGAGCAGACTGTGCGACTCGGCCTCTGGTAGTGAGTGCAATGCGCATGTGCAGACTCTCCTCCAGCTCCGAACGTAGATCATGACTCCGCCTGAACCTACGCTTCACCTCTTTACCTCGCGTACTACCATCTGCAGCTCAGCGACAGGTGTTTTCTCTATCGTCTCAGGTCTGACAAACTACGGCTTGGGTCATACGCGCACATCACTTCCTCAAAGCTGGATGATCCTCTTTCTGGTCCCCGGCGCATTCACCATTGCGCTCGGCGTGCTTTTTGCGTTGCTCTTACCACCTTCGCCAGACACAAGGCCAATTCTTGCTATACCAGGATATAATAGCTTCAGCGAGGGTCAGAGGGAGCTGCTCAGCAAGCGCTTAGAATCGGAGAAAAGAGACCCGCTCAGAAAATATGCTGGGGAGCTGGACTGGAAGGACGAGTGGTCGTTGAGAGAAGTGGGAAGGGCGGCTAGAGACCCCAAAATGTGGCTATTCCTTGCTATAGCTACTCTCATCTACGGTGAGCAGCTTGACTAGTTCCCTTGTCAGGTGAGCAGCAGGGCATACTGAACCATTGCGCTCATTCCGTCAATAGTTGTGAACGGAAGCGTGACCGTCTTTGGCCCCATCCTTGTCCGAGCTGTGTTCCGATCCGGCGGAGCAGAAGCGCTCGCTCTCCAAGGTGAGCCACCATGTGCGCATGCCGAGTCATGGTTTTTGTATCTCATCGATCCTTCTTTTGCCCCCCTTTCAGCGCCTGGCGGAGCAGTCACGGCAATCTCGATCTACCTGGTCGTATTCATTTCACGTCGGTATCAAGGCACTCGGCTCTTGTTGCTCATCCTCTCCTGTCTACCAGTGATAGCAGGCGCCTTGATGATTTGGCTCTCGGACTGGACTCATCGGGCAGTCCCATACGCAGGGTACCTCCTGCTGCCCATCTTTGGTGCGCCCTTCGTCATGCTCCTTGGCATAGCTTCCTCGGAAATCAGAGGCAAGACTCAACAAGCCATC